TTTGAGGAACAGGTCATTGTGTGGAATTGATTAAATTATTCAACCAGATACTTAGTAGTTTTACAAAGTTGACTAGTTTGGTATGTTCTGATTCTGCTGTAGCTTGTCTAGAAAATGGCTTAGATGATCATTTCTTTATATTTCTATAGGAAGGAGTGGGAGTTTTCCTGGTCCATACTTTCTCACTACATCTATGACTGATGACAAATTTGAATGCTAACTATGTTTAACTAGAATGTTTCTGGAACTTTGGACATCGGGGTGTAGGTGAAGTCTCCTTTGTTCAGCAACCAGAGCTTCAAGTCTTGAGAGGAACATAGATAAATTGATATGGAGGGAATTTTGTAGGTAGCATACCTCTTGTCAGATCATGATATGATAAAGACTAACTCACCTCAGTTGATCTAGATGGAGATTCTTGGAGGCTGGTGTGATTTTAATGGGGCTGGAGTTAGTGTTTGCTTTGGAGAATTCAACCACTATGTGTTTGTAGTAAGGATGTTTACTGATAAATACTTTTTTGTCATAAAGCATCTGTGGCTGAGTCTTCCCAGAGAATTTCATGAAAGTGAGTAGAGGGAAAGTAAAGTCCAAGGTCTTGGACTTGGACAAGAGGTTGGTAATATAACTCAGTGTGGTCTGTGTTTTGCAGCAATGAGAGTGGATCTACCTGCTTATTTGGGATCAAGAACTGAGAATACTGGGGATTGGGCCTTGATAGATGATGGACAATCTACTGCAACTAAGTCAAGATCTGCTATGAGTTGAGGGAGAAAAGGTTGGGGAGGAAATGTAAAATCTAGCAACTCTTGTTTCTGGGCATGTCCTAGGCTGAGGTGTGTGTGTGTGTGTGTGTGTGTGTGTGTGTGTGTGTGTGTGTGTGTGTGAGTGCATTTATGTACATGCATCTACTCTATTGCTGGTGTGTGTGTGTGGAGGAAATAGTTTGAGGATGTTTGTATTATCTTGTATGAGATTCTTAACTTCTCAGATCCCTCAGACACTCTCTTTAACATTGTGTTCCTCTTGAAGATCAATGAGTTGCCAAGAAACTTATACCTTCTAGAAACCAGGGATCCAGAACTCTTCAGCCTTCCTGTGTCTTCACAGAGTTGCAGAGCAGGGGAAGAAAAAGGCCTTGGTTTCCTTCTGATGTCCTTTTGCATCAAGGGTGGAAACGAGTTTGGATGGATTGGGGAAACTGATGTCCTTTGCCTGGGCAACCCKATGGTCATCAGCAAGACACTGCTTTTGCAGGGAGGCCATAGTGTGAATTGCATTTTGTTGGACTTTAATCCTCTGACAATAGGCAATCAATGTTTAGCAATGTTGGTAAATACAAGATTGTATTAATGGGGATTTATACTGTTATTGGACCATTCTGGAAGGCTGGAAAGTACAAAGAGCAACAAAAGGAATAATGAGCTTTCCTGTTCATTAACCACAGTGGAGATTATTCTCAGTACTTCCAAAGTGGCCCTACTTGCTCTACACCTCTTCCACATTTGTAAAGTGGAGTTAATATTTTCTGAATTCTAATCTTGTTCATTTCCTGTCAAAACCTTTCAGTGGTTCCTTGATCCATACCAAATTTTGTTTATTCATCTTTGCTTTTAAGTCTCTCTCTAGTTTGGAGACAATATTTGTAGTGAATATTTATGCCATGAATGCAAGTATGGTTTAGTATTAAAAAGTATTTGTTGTAACACATTGAAAGATTAAAGGAAAAAAACTCACATCATCATCTTATTAGATAAATAAAACCATTGGGTAAAATCCAGTATATTGTTGTTATTTAAAAAAATCTTTACTAAAAGTAGAAGGGGATTTTCTTAATATGATAAGGAGCATATATAAAAATCATGTAACAAACATATATAATGGGAAAACACAACAGGCATCTTTAAAATCATGAATATTGCAAGAATACTATCACCTTTTCTATTTGACATTGTGTGGACATCGATAGTCAGTGCAAAATTTCTTTCAAAATGAAAGGGCTGGGCSTGGTGGTACACACCTGTAATCCCAGTGGCTCCGGAGGCTGAGGCAAGAGGATCGTGAGTTCAAAGGCAGCCTCAGCAAAAGCTAGGCGTTAAGCAACTCAGTGAGACCCTGTCTTTAAATAAAATACAAAATAGGGCTGGGGATGTAGCTCCGTGGTCGAATGCTCCTGAGTTCAATCCCCAGTACCAAAAGAAAAAAAGGAAGAAATGAGACCTGTAAGAATTGGAATATAGGGGGAAAAAACTCTGGCATGATATGCAAGTAATCTGATTTTCCTGATTGAATCTGTGGTCAAATTGTTAGGAATAATAGGCTCATTTGGTAAGGTAGCTGGATATATAAGGTCAATTTGCATAATTTGATTGTATTTTATGAACTATGATAATCAGGAAATATATCTTTAAAAAGACAATTTTGTTAAAAACTATAACATACTTGAGAATAATTCTAATCAAATGTGTAAAGTCATTCTATAGAAAAAATAAAATTTGGGTGACATTTAAGGGAGTCTAGTAAATAGATATCCCATGTTTGTGGATAGGAAGGCATACTATAAGAAAGGTGTTGGTTCTGTCCAAACTGATCTACAAATTCAGTGTAGTTCCTATGAGAACCACATCAGGGTTTTTCATGGAACTAGATAAGCTCATGCTAAAATTTGTATGAATGAGTGAAGAAACTATAATAGACAAGAGATTTCCTAATAATAATAATAGCATTTGGGACTTGCCTTATCAGATATCAGGCCTTATTATGAAGCTACAGAAAAAAAGAAAAAAGTGGTACTGGTCCAGAGACACAAAGTGACCAGTGGAATAGGTTAGATCCCTGTATATTTGGAACTTTAATTTGTGACCCAAGGTGGCATTACAGATGAGTGGGGGAAAAATAAGTATCAGTTAATGGAGGTTATGGGAAAAATTGGATTTTTGTTTCACCTCATGACATATAAAAGAATATCACATGAAATTAGGGCTTAAATATCAAGGGCAAATGTTCAACTTTTAGTAGAAAACAAATTAATTATTTTTCTGGCTTTGGAATAAGGAAGGATACTAACTCTAAAATAAGGTGTGTAGGATTTTTTTTATATGAAGTTTTTCATCTTTGCTGGGTGCTTCCTCTCTGATCACATTTTCTGGCTTGAGATTTTCCTTACCTGCATAAGCAGGTAGTAATCTTTCTTGTATATCTCTCAATATTTATCTTCCTCTGCTCAGCTAATTTCCTTGTATCCAGGATCCAAACAGTTCCTAGTTCAGATATCTATGGCTTATATTTACATGCTGAACTGAGGTAGGGATGGAAGCCAGAGGAGGAGTCTGTTATGGTCAGACAAGCTGTGGTTTGATATGCTGCTTATAGTTGAATCTCAGTGTGAGATCTGTGTAGGCTTCTGGAACATTCTCTTAATTATAACAGCTCCTTTCTCTAGCCATTTGGCAAGGACAGGGAGTAAGGATGGACAGAGGTCCGCTAGGGCAAGTCAAAGGAGGCTACAGTGTCCTAGAGTTGGCATAAACTGTGGATCCCCAAATCTACACAAGCCGAGGAGGTTCTGTTTTCGTACTAGCAAAATAAAGCTTAGCTTGGTTGAAACATAGCTCCAGGGTAAGTCTGGGGCCTTGGAGCCAAATAATTTCACCTGTTTGGAGAGAATATCCTTTCCTTGCCCATTCTTTTGGTGGTTCTTCCAACCTCTACCCCGCCATCCTACCCCATGAAGTTAACAGATAATTCAAGATAGTTGGGTAGTTATCTGGTTTCCCATAGGGATTTGAGTGTTTTGTCTCTTGCTTTCAGTAGAGAGAGGGTGTTGAGATTATGGGTGAGTCTTGCTGGTCACTACCTGCTCACTTGCTCAGTTAGCCTATCCAGATGTCCTTTCTTTTCACATCAATTATAGTCCCTTGTCTCTCTATAGGATTATGGTTTCTTAGAAACTTAAACTATTGTGCCACTATTCTCCATACTATAGTCAATGCGATATTTCTAAAGCACAAGTTCGTTCATCTGTTCCTGTTTCCCACTTCTCTGAAACACTTTGATGTCTTCTCATCGTTTTGGAAAGAGATCCAAACTCCCTAGTCTTCTTGATACTCTTCCTGTGCTCTCTAGTTTTACTGAACTGCCTAGGCTTTGAACACACTTTGCTCCTTTTCTCCTTTAGGTCTTTATGCATACTATTTCCTGTCTGACTTCCTTTTTACCTGGCTAATTTCTGCTCTTCCTCCGAATCTTTTCTTTTAGAAATTTTCTCTCAATCTGGCATCACTGGGATAGTTTCTCAATTGGATCATGATACTTAAAATGTGATGTTTGAATGTTTACTTGGCTTTCTGCTCCATTGGACTTGGCTGTTTGAATGGCTTTGGGACAGCAGATATTGTGCTTTATTTGTTTGCTTTCCTTAAACTTAAATATGGAACTTGACACATAGTTGCCTCCATTAAATATTTTAATATTTAATAAAATATTAAATATTTTAATACTTGTACCCTTTTTTTTTCTCTTTTGCAATACTGGGAATTAAACCTGGAACCTCCTGCAAGCTAGGCAAGCATTCTATCATTGAGCTACATCCTCATTCTGTCTGCATTAAAATATTCAATTAATATTAATTTGTTAATTAAAGTATTAATTAACAAATATTCCAGTGTGGTAGTGATAGAGTGCTTAGTGATAGAGTGCTTAGTCTCCCTCCAGTTTGGGAAGGGAGGTTAGGGACAGCATGAGGATCTTTCACCAAGTCACTCCAAATTTGTGGAAGAAGCAGAGCTAGAACCTGACTTTTTTCATTGGAATGCACTTTGTAATGCAAGATCCTGCAGAAATGCTGGACAGTGTATTTCCTTTTCTGTTGGTCTGTGATGAGGAGAATAGCCTGACAGAGATGTCCCTGGTGGGTGGGCAAATACACAGACTTATGGCAGTCCCATGAATGGGTTTACTAATGTGTTCTCTTTCCCCTCCCTCTTCCTTCCTGTTTACAGTGTCAAGCCAAACTCCCAGCCACAGATACAGGCTGGGGATGATGAGAAGAACCAGAGGACAGTCACTGTCAATCCAGCCCATATGGGAAAGGCCTTCAAGGTTATGAATGAGCTTCGGAGGTACTTTTCCTATCTTGCCTGTGCCCTTTCAGAAGGAACTTGCAGGGAAGCTTTATCAGGGACCAAGAACAGAAGTCAGAACGCCACCACCTAGTGAATTATGACTCTTCCCCACCCACTCTCAGTCACTTGGCTTCCTTCCCCTTTTCAAATTCTGAGACAGAACAACTTTGCCAGAAAATCTCTTTCCTTTATATTTATTTAACACCTATCATTTTAGTGATTAATCACAGGTGAAAATTCCTTTGTAGTTAAAGCAGGTCTGTTCCTAAACTTGATTTCCAACTGAACCAGCTGCTTAAAAACCAATAATAGAACTTCGACACCTACACACAATTGCAAACTAAAGATTGTAGATGTTATATATTTTCTTTTCGCCTCTCTTTCATGCCTCGGGTTGAGCTTAGCTTGGCAGGACAGCTACATGAATGGAAGAATACCTAGTTCCCTAAATGCAGTTTGACTCTGTAAAGAAAGAAATGACACACAAATGTACTCATCCTCATAGAACTAAATAGTGAGGGTCTGCAGGCTGTTGGGAAGGCCAATGTGTGTGTGTGTGACAAGCTTGTTGCAATACAGGTTTAGGGCACTGAACATATTTTTCTTTATGAATTCTGCACATGCAATCTTCCTTACCAAAGAGCTCGGTAGCTTCCGTTGCCCACCTTTATTTACTGGATTCTTTATTGTATTATAAAGTGAAATTGTTTACCACCTTTTTTCTTTGTAGCTCTTGAGTTCCCAGCGGACAGGGACAACTTCTGAGTAATTTTGATCTCTAGCACTTGGTACGTCATAAAAGATTTGATTTTTTTTCTTTCGTTTTTTTTAACCAAAGATGCCCAAAGGTACTGCCTAGGCCTTGGGATGGGTGGGTAGAAAAACAAATCAGAAATGTAAATAGGTTAATAAAAATCATCTTTCTATAGTGTGACTGGGTCTTATGAAGGAGGAATACAATAGGTGTCTGACAGGTGGTAGGTATGCAATAATTTGTTTCTTAAATAATGCAGAAGAAACAAGTATGTTGACTAACTTCGGAGAATACTTCTTAAAGAGAGATGATGCTTGAACTGAATGTGGAAGATTGAGTCAGAGTTAAAGACATGAAGGATATTGGAGGTAGGGAGAAACCTTCTAGCCTGAGAAATGGCATATAGCCAAAGAAGTGTCTGTTGAGTGGGGCATGAGCTACTTTTGAAAGTTTGATTCTATGTTTGTTTCTTCATTTCTTCTTTTTGCACAGCCTAGTCTTTGGCATTAAAAAACAAGTTTAATTAAATTTGTCTTATGCTCTACTGCTCAATTTTTATTAGGCCTCCTGCCAGATTTCTTGGAAGCTTTGCCCCTAGCTGTCTTAGCCATAGGGCAGAGCTGATGTTCATGTCTATGGACTTGGTCTCTTGTCACTAAAGACTTTGTGTGTTGTTCTCTAGACACTATTTGAATCCCAACTTAGTTTTTTGGGGTATGACTTGTGTCCTTTGTCTGATTTAAGAATCTACTTAAGAGTCTAATTCTCTCATCAGGCCTTATTTTGCCTGGTGCAGCCAACTCTGGTGACCATTGAAAGGGAGAGCTGAGGGAATAGATGTGCATAGAGGATTCTTCCTATCCCCACTTCCCATTACTAGCATCATTTCATTTTCTTCAGCAGCTTAAAAAAAAAAAGTCATCCTATGTCCTCTCTGCTTTTGTTACAAGTTACTAGCATTTGTATCTTTCCCCAAGAGTAGGGCTTGACTTGGATTTAATCTCCCACAGTTCTGCGATGCTTCTCTTTTGTATTATTCAACATTTGCCATAGTTTGTTCTGAGTAGTGTTTGTTTCCTCAGGATGCTCTGTGGGATAAAAGAGACCCATACCCAAATGAGTTTGAAAAAGGCTATTTACTACACCTCTCTGAGGTGCATAATGTATTTAGGCATGTGCAATATACTTGTTTGAACATTTCCCACACATAATTGAGTGTTGTTAGGTAAAGACCGAGTATATTGTGAAATTTGTTTGGAAAATGCTGATCTAAACATGAAACATAGTCCTCTGCTGAAATTTAAGTAAATAATCTGTTTTTCTTCTTTTTGATTGATCAAATGGACCACAGTCTGTATGTATTTGCCTAGGAAATTTTTAATTCAAATTTAGGCATGAATTTCACTTTCACTTTTTAAAATTAATTAATTAATTAATTTTTATAAAAGGAATGTATTTATTGCAGAACATTTAGAAAATACAGATGAACAAAAAGTCACTTATGGTTTTAATATTAGTGGTAACCATTGTTAATACTTTGGAGAATATTTTCTCTTTTTTATATATATATTTTTTTTAGTTTTAGGTGGACACAGTATCTTTATTTTACATTTATGTGGTGCTGAGGTTTGAACCCAGGGCATGCCAGGTGAGCACTGCACCACTGAGCCACAATCTCAGCCCCCTATTTTCTCTTTAAAATGTCTAAACCTGATTTTTTTATTCATGTAGCACTGTGTCAAATAGTCACTGTTTTATAACATTGAATGAATGATATTCTTTTTTTGCTTTATTTAAAAAACAAAACAAAACAAAACAAAAACAGTTCCCAGGTGTGGGAAGTCTAGGTTTTCCCCATTCCATATATAAAAAATATCTTCAGTGGTTATCTTTGTAGCAGTATAACGTAGTGGTCACATAGACTTTGGTTTTAAATCTTGGCTCTAGTGCTAACTAACTGTGCAACCCTGGGCAAGTTAATTAATCTCCCTGGTCTTACTTTTGTTACCCGTAAAAGGAGGCTAATAATAGTACCAGTCTTGCTGGGTTGTTAAGAGGATTAATGAATAAAGTACTTAGAACAGTGATAGCACATTTATTACTATTGCTAAATATTTGTGCACATTCACGGTTATTTCTATGGAATTAATTCTTAGAAGTAGAATTGCCAATTTCCATGGTCTATAGTATAATACTAACTATTCCTTAGATGTTGCTGTGAGGCCCTGGCACACAGTGAATATTGTGTGTCAGCTATCTGATGATGAGAAGGAGGAGGAGGTAAACACTCTACTAGGTGGCCGGAATATGACAGTAGGTAARAGAACCGAAGTCTTTCCCTCTATGGAGCTTTTGTTCTCATGGTGTTCAAAAGGCTGTATCAAATTCCAAGATATTTAAATGATAGTCTTCTAAAAACTGTAGTGAAATAGATGAAGCAGGCAGAAAGGGGACCTGGATTGATACTTGATTGATCTGGGTGACTTTAATGGGAAATGGAGAGAGGGTGGGCATACTTTGTTTAGAAGAAGGCCTGGTAAAGCATTTTGCCATGAAGGATTAAGCTAATGAAATGTTATATGATATTCCAGGGATCTGGGGTTATTTTTTTTGTTGTTTTCACATTCCCCTCTCTTAATTTTATGCTATATTAGCTCAAGCACACTTTTTTTTTTTTTGCAATTTATGAATCACACAATTCACGAGTTTCCTATTATTTTTTACTGCCATGGTAGAGAAAGGGCTGTTGGCATGGTAACCACCCAGCTTTCTCTCCCTTTAGCACTAAATTGCTCTGCTCTAGTCAAACCACAGTGCCTCTGGCAGCAGAGTCCTAGTGACTCTTTGGCCCCTGACTTACCATCCAGCCAGTAGTGGGGATGTGGTCCTTTCGAATGGCATACCCTGACTGGTCCTGAAAAGAAGGAAGCAGGAAGGACAAAGCAACCAATGAGTATTTAGAACCCACAGTATTTCCTATTTCGACTCAACAGGCCTCCCCACTCCCCCACTTTGCCAGGGGATTGAACCTGGGTCTTGGCACATATTAAGCATGTGCTCTACCACTAGCTTCATACTATCCCCTTCACAATTTTAACCTCTCATTTCAACATTGGAAACAGTTCCCAGTCCTCATTTTTTTTTTTAAATTTGGATGCCCTGACATTATGCCTTTATTGCCAGCAACGAACCATCTAAACACATTACTTTCTGTTTTTTTTTTTAGTGACAGCTTTATAAAGATTGAATTAACATGCCATACAGTTCACCTATTTAAGGTATACAGTTTAATCACTTTGAATTTTCAGTGTTATACAACCATAGTCAATTTTAGAATATTTTTGTTGCTCCCCCCCTCACCAAGAAACCCAGTGTACTTTAGTAGTTACCCACTCCCACTTCTTCCCCTGTCTTCATCCCTTTCCCACTTTAGCTCCAGGCAATTACTAGTCTACTTTCTGTCTCTATAGATTGACCTATTTTAGAATCATGCCACATGTAGTCTTTTATGTTTGCCTTCCTTTCACTGAGCATAATGATTTTTAGGGTTCATCCATGTTGTAGCATATCTCAGCTCTTATTCCTTTTTATTGCTGAATAATATTTCATTATATAGACACAGCACTTTTGGCAATATTGAATAATTCTTCTTCAAACATTCACGTACATGTTTCTGTGTGGATATGTGTTTTCATTTCTCTGGAGTTTATATTTAGGAGAGGGATTTACGGGGTCATATGGTTATGTTTAACCTTTGCAGGAAATGCCAGACTACTTTCCAAAAGAGCTGTACCATTTTTATTTCATAAGCAGTGAATGAAGATTTTAATTTCTCCAATTCCTCTCTTAACACTCATTATTATCTTTTTTTTATTATAGCCATCCTAGTGGGTGTGAGATGATATCTTATTATTGTTTTGATTTGCGTTTCTTTGGTGACTCATGATGTTGAAAATGAGTTAATGTGCATATGAACAATTTCTATATCTTATTTTGAGAAAAGTCTATTCAGCTCCATTGCTCAATTTCCTAAAAAAAAAAAAATGGATTATTTTTATGTTTTTTATTGAGTTCCCAGAGTTTGGGTTTTTGTGTTCTAGATAAAACCCCAGTATCAGATAGATGATTTGTAAAAAGTTGTTCTCATTTTGTGGATTGGCTTTTTGTATTCCTGATGGTGTCCTTTGAAAAGTACAAATGTTTTAAATTTAGATGTCTGTCATTTTTTTCTTTTGTTGTTTGTTTTTGGTGTCATTTAAGAAAACATTGCCTTTCCTAAAATCATGGGCTTTACTCCTGTGTTTTTTTTCCTAAGAGCTTTATAGTTGTAGCTCTTACACTTAGGTCTTTGATCATTGTAAATTAATTCTTACATATGGTAGGCGGTAGGGATCCAACTTGATTCTTTTACCTATTGATAATCAATTATCCCAGCTAAAGTTCTTGGTGCCCTTGTAAAAGAATCAAAATCAATTTCTGGACTCTCAATTCTGTTCTTTTGATATGTATAGTTATCTTTATGCTCATTCTACATTGTATTTTTTGCTGACTGTCCCTCCATACACACACACACACACACACACACACACACACACCCAAACACATGTGCACACACATACTTTTTCAAAAATAGAATCAGGATCTTACTCTATTGCCCAGGCTGTCCTCATACTTGTGATCCTCATGACTCAGACTCCTTAGTAGCCTGGACTGTAGGCATGCATCACTTCACTGTGCTTGGCCTTCATCCTCTTACCCATCTCCCATCTTTGGACTCCAGATCTGCTTACTTGATAACCCTACTTAGATGCCCAATAGACAACTCACATTTATCATGTCCAAAACTTCTATTSTTAAAGAAAATACCTTGTGGGAATAAAGAAGAAAAAGAATAAACTAATATTTGCCAAGTATTTACTATTAGCACTGTGCATTATGTCTTTTATGATATATCTCAATTCTGTGATACTCTGGAGATGGTGTAACTCTCCTATGCTAGAGAGCAGTGGGACAGAGTTTTGAATTTCAGTTAGTTCGATTCTAATACCTGAGCACCTTCCTAACAGCTACACTATACTTTTCTACAAATGGTAAAGCATATAGTCCACTTTTCTCTCCTTAAGATTGTTCTTTGGAGTAGTATCATAGCTCAGAAAAAAATGAAAGGAATCCATAGGATTTTTGGTAACTGAAACAGAAGTGCTTRTGAGCCTTGTAGTGCTTTGGTACTGCCTTTTCCCTACCTTCAGGAAAAGCTTACCTTGACTTTTCGGCAAATTTCTCTTGACCATTTATCCAGGTAGATTTATTTGGCCTTGAGTTTTATTTTTCACCTGTTGGAACTGCTCTCTTTCATTTATTTAACTGGATCATCTCTATTCCCCATTCCTTCTTATCTCTTTCTCATTTGTTCACAAATTATCAGCCTTTTTGGATATCTGCAATAAATTTCATTCTGACATTTGTTTGTTTGCTTCTAGCACTGAAAATTTGACTCTTTTTTGTTTCTCTTTAAAATATTGGTATCTAAAAAAATTATTATTATTCATAAATAGCAGTAACTATAGCAACTATAAATAGCAGTAACTAAAGTCTCCTAAAATCCTTAATAGAAGTGAAAGTATCCAAGGTTTGTCTATTCATGTTAGGTATATAGTTTTTACAATAGTTTTGACCAGACTTAAAAAAACAGCCTGTTCTTAGGTGACTTTCTGCCACTCCATTTTATTTCTGTGATATGTGTCCTAAGGGCTACTAAGACAGGTGCGAAAGCTGTGGCAAGCTTATTTGTTCATGTTCTCATAGGGGCAGCATCAGTTGTGTTCCTGTTTGTGCTGATGTATTCTGATAAGGTTGGTGTGTGAGGTCTGCGGCCCACTGTGGGGTGAGGTCCTAACTCCTGGGTTTTACCTCTTGGTTCCTGCAGGTCTTACCTTCTTAGAAGCCTACCACTGGTACTTTACGCCATGTGGTGGACATTTCCTGAACACCTGTTGTGTTGGAAGCCCATTGTCTTCTGTTTTTTCCCATTCTGAGTGTCAGCCACTTGTGAGGCATCATGGTCGAGTGGGAAAAGCACTATTTCTGGAGTCGAGAATCGGCCTTCTCAGGCGTCTCTTCACTTCTCTGGGCTTCATAGACCACACAACCTCTCAGGGCACTGCAGCTCCAGCTGTCTCAGGCTTTATGATCACAATTCTCTAAGTGAACCTATCTTAATAGTTGACAGTGGCTTAATGTACTAGATCTGAGATGGCAAATATGTAGTTTCTCTTCCATCTGCCAAGCATGGCAGACTCATTAACTGGTTTCAACATCCTCACATAAAACCCAGACATGACTTCAGATTTTTTGTACCAGTATATGTGTGCTAAACAACCACTACCAGTGAATCATGGTTGAGATGTGTTTGTTGTCCTGGTCTTCCCTCCTATCTGCAGTGCTTTCATCTAAAGGAGGCACTAGTAGGATTAGGTACCATAGAATGAGTTCTAGGGATGAGATATGTGCATGAAAATGCTGTTTCCACTTTCTATACTCCCTTTCTGTGGGACCTTGGGAAAGTTACTTAATTTCTCTGGGCCTCAGTGTCCTCATTTTTTATGTGGAAAATAACAATTAGCCCCATATCATCATGTTGTAGAGAGGAATAAGTGAACTAATATGTGTTAAAAATGCTTAGAACAGTTCCTGGCACATATAACTCAATAAATGTTATCCATTATATTAATTACAGACATGATAACAACTTGGAAGGCTGATAAAGGAAAAATTCTTGGTTTGACAGGGTATTATGGCTCCCTGTCAATCTTTAAATATCCATCTGTCTATGAATATGAGTTGATTCCCATTTATTCATTCACTTATCCAGAAAAATGCAGGGTAAAGCTTTACCTTGACAGTTGTAGTGATTGGAACTTGCAAAGGGTCTTCAGTATGTGTGTGCAGGTAGAGGGCTCTTGGTTATAGTGTTAAATCTGGATGTGAAGAGACATGCTGGAGTCTGGCTTGCCTCTTACAGTTTTGCATGTGGGTGAACCCTTGGGGAGTTGTTAGCACTCAGTCTTGCTGGTGGCACACTTGGTGGTGTGCTCGTGTACCTCAGCATTCAGTCATTCACTAGCAGCCTGAGGTATTGCCACTGCTTTCTGAGCCTTTGTCCTCCTAATTGTCAGAGCTGATGGTATTGGGAACAGAGAGTGAAGATTAATGAAGCAGCCTGACTTACAGCCACAGAGTAGTTGGATATCTCTTTGTGGAAGATTTATCAAATACTTGAATGAAGGAGCCCATCCCTTTGCTTAACTCAAGATAGAGCAAATTTCTCTGGCTACTTCATGTGGCAAACCGGTGTGAAGTCTGGGTGGGAGAAAACAATATCCTGGTATGATGTGGGTAGGTGTTCGTGCTGTGACCCATCCTGTCCCTTCCCTGGTGTCTTGCAGTAAGCAGCTGTTGTGTGACGTGATGATTGTGGCAGAAGATGTGGAAATAGAAGCCCACCGTGTGGTCCTGGCAGCCTGCAGTCCCTACTTCTGTGCGATGTTCACAGGTATGGTGAGGGGCACACAATAACCTATGGTGTGGGGCTGCTGCCCCCGTGGGAGGAGATTGATGGTGGTGGCACAAGGGGAGGGAGGAATGAGAAGGCTGTGAAGCTTACTGTGAGGAGCTTCCCTTTCTCAGCTTTGTACCATAGAGAACTTCTGGAACCAAAGTCTCAACCAAGCCAGCTGGACATGTAGACCCTTGACCACTACGAGGAAGAGAGGTGGAATCGTGTAGTCCATTAGTTCTCAAGCTTTAGCATGCACTAAAATTAGGGAGCTTGTTAACAATGCAGTCTATGTTCATTGCCAGGCCTTCTGGTCTCCCATTTTGCATGAGGGACACTGAGGCTGAGTGAGGGGAAGGGACTTGCCCAAGGTCATACAGTGAATGAATGGGACTTGGATTCTTGACACCTGGCCTAGTGCTCTATCATTGGACCCACATCTTGTCCTTCCTTAGCCTTTCCTTCCAGGCAAGCACCTGGGGTCTCCTCTAGCCTTTATAGAGGTATGGAAGAGATTTGAAGAAATGATGGTGGGGATTGGTATTGAGACATGAGAATGATCAAAATCTAGCATAGTTTCAGCACCTTTGCCAACTCCCCAGGGACCCCTGTTTCCTGGGTACATGTAGGAAAGGATCACATTTTACACTTAAAACTCTGGGCTGAATTTCTTGAAATCCACAGGCTTCCCATCTGTAGTTCCTCATAGCACCTCCCCTGAATCAGATACATGCAGTGCTGTATAAATCACTGCTGACAGAAGGAGGCCATCAGAACTCAAAGGACCCTCTGACTTGGTCAGGTGTGCCTATCTCATGTTTTCCAAGAACCATTTTCCTGCTCTGWATGTAGTGACCATCACTCTGCATTCTGTTTCTCTGGTCTGTTTCCTGGTGTAACACTCTCTTTGGAATGATCACAAACTCAGTTTCAAGGTTTTTATTTCCTTTTTACCCCTTTCCTTCATCCATCTCTTTCTAAAATAATTTATCTTGTCGCCAACAGTTATTTAGGTGAAACATTAATGAATAGCTATGCCAATATAGCTCTTTGTGTGTGTGTGTGGTTTGAAAGTCCAGTATTGAGAGAAACCTGTTTGGAATTGCAGTGAATTGTAGTGTTGGCTTTGCTTTTGACTGATGAACTTGTTTCTAGGATAGATGAAATGCCTTAGAAAAGACAAAGTGATTTTAGAGCTTGGGAGAACACATGCTTCCGGAGCAGGTCTTGGATTCTAGTAATTGAAGGGAGACTGCAAGAGAAGAAAGCTAGTCTCATGTGATGCCCAGCTCAGTCCTTCCCTTGGGTCTGGTTACCATCCATTGTTCCATCCACTCATTCATCCTTCCACTCATCCATCCATTTGCCCATCCTTGAAAACACTATCCACATATGCAGATTACAAGAAAAGATCAGAAAATGTTAGCAAGCAAAAGTAAAAATAAATAAGTAAAAAATTACATGTATTACATCTCCTAGGTAAGATTATGGTTTATATCCTTTCATATTTTATATTTATAAAATGGACATATACAAAATCATTTTTCAACATAAGTAAGTTCATTTTACATGTACAGTTGAAATGTCTTTTTTGATAGGTATAATTTTTAAAACTACTATTCATTTTCTGAGGTGTTTTTCTTGCCTCTTTGCCCATGTAGCTCCTATTTGTCTTTCATTACCCCACAAGCATCCCTTCCTCAGGAGGGCCTTCCATGACCCCTCAGACTAGGTTAAATCCCTTTGTTACTTACTTCCAATGTACCTTATACTACTACTCTCTAGTATTATTACTAATCTCAATATCTGATTTCCCTGATCAATTATAAGCTCTATGAGGCTAAGAATTGTACTTCTTAACTGATGCAACTTTATTGCCTACCGTAGTCTTCCATGCAATAAGTGCTTAATAAAAATGTTTAATTGAAGTTGGTATTATATTATGAATATCTTCCCATGTTGATGAAATCATACCTACATTCCTAATTTCAATGACTTTGTAAGATTCCATCATRTGTATCCTAATAGAAAATCCATCTCTTCATTTGTTGGAAGTTATAGTTTTAATATTTTCCTATTGTAAATAATGCTCTAATGGGCATCCTTGCATCTTAATCTTCATTKTGATTATTTCCTTATAATAGATCCCTAGAACAGGAAATACGTGGTTAAAGGCCATGCATATTTGAAGAGCTGTAAGATGTGTCACCTGCCCTTCAGCTGTTCCAGCCTGTACTCCCATCAGCACTAAATGAGATTTGTATATTCTTGAGGCCCCTTGGCTTTGCTTAAATAGATATGAAAAACATTGCAAAATTCTGTTCCAATTATCAGATTTGGCTTTGAAATGCATAAAGTTCATTGTGAAAAGGCCCAGCTGACTCTTGTTAAATCTATTTCCATCAGCATGTTTAGGGCCCAAAGAAAATACACATGGTTTTAYTCCAACTGAGTTGTATGATTTTGATCTTTTAGTCAGGCTTAGGTGTTTTTATGTGTATATTTTTTGTCCTTTGAGTTCATGTTGTCCAAATTTCCTGTGGTGGTTCCAAATACCAGCTCCACACTCCTTGACCATGTCCTGTCCACATGGAATACAAATGGTGAAACTGAGTGTCTCTCCAGAGAGTGTTCAAATCCAGCCAGGGTGTAAGAAGATCTAAGATGGGCAGTCACCTTACCTGCCTTCTGTTCCTTTCAGGATAACATGGGTAGTGTGTATGCTGCCTACCTTTGTCCTGTAAGTATGGAATACTTACAGCTTTTCCACTCTYCCCATCTAATATCTCCATTCCAGGGGATGCAATTTTCCTATAGAATGGGCTAGATATATGCATTTTCCAGAGATTGAACCTACGGGTACTTAATCACTGAGTCACATCTTTAGTTCCCCCCCCCCTTTTTTTTTTGGATTATGGACCTTTATTTCATTTATTTATATGTAGTGCTGAGAATCGAACTCAGTGCCTCAAACATGCTARGCAAGTGCTCTACCACTGGGCTGCAATCCCAGCCCTCTTCAGCCCTTTTTTATATTCTATTTAGAGATAGGGTTTTGCTGAGTTTGCTTGAACTCATGATCCTCCTGCCTCAGCCTCCTATGCTGCTGGGATTACAGGCATGCACCACTGCACCTTGCTACTGGACTAGTCAATTTTATCATGCCTTTTACTCTGGGCTCTCTATGCACTATAGTATTTGCACTCCATATGAGTCTCTGACATGTCATCCCCATTTTCTGGTGTTAAAGGAACTGAGGTCTAAAGAATATTGGGGCTCAGGGTCTTACATCCATTATTAAGGCTCAAAGATGTTTGGGGTTAATCCCACATGAAGACCTGGGAGTGTTATGTCCTACACTCTTCTGATTTTTTTGTACTATATACTGTATTGATTTCAATGAGTCATGATCCAGTTTGTATTAGATTTAGCCTGATGTTCAACTCATTCCTTTGAACATATGAGTAGAAATAGGGAGAAGAGGTCAGGAGTGTGCTGAGGTTTTAGAGGCAAGGGGGTTAGAATTTGAGTGGACACCAGTCATTCACAAAGTAGAACAACAAGGGCCTGGCTCTGTTACCCCTAGGCATGCACTTATTCCATAGAACATTTGTTTTACCCTTTCTGCCTACCAGACCCTCCCAGGCCCCAGTTCATGGCCTGTGCCTGTGTCCTGCGTGATTGTGTGGTTTGTCAGTGCAGGAACTCAGCAAAATCTAACATAGACAACAGGGCATAGAGGGAAGGAGAACCAGGGATCTGAGTCCTTTCTTAGGGCCTGGAGGTAGTAGAAGTACAAGATAGGCTCTGGTTTCTGAGAGCTTTGCCTCTATTGAGTCAGAGATTTGACAGAATATTTCATTAAATGCTCTAGGTACCAGAGTAATGTGGTACTCCAATAATGACTAATGGCCTCACCTTCCATGTGACTATCTTCTTGAGTAGGTCGCCTTTGGACAAATGACAATGATGTAGGGTTTCTTCTTCCTATCCTTGAAATATCACATCAAAGTCAGACATCCTTTTCTAGCTTAGAAGACTCAGAATGGGGACTGAGAAATACAATACAATAGTTATGTCTAATAATGTAACTTATTATTAGATAATAATAAGGTATCTACCATATCACTGTCTTGATGTAGAAATGGCTTTTTAAGCAGTGATTTGGATTGTGGTTSCACAGAGGCCTTTTTATTGCCTAGGAATGGAGACTGCCATTTATCCTCGGCATTTCCCTATTAAGTTGCACCTCATTTGACTGAGATGGTTTAGGGTAGACTTGTGTGAGCTTAGAGCTCAGTCTTAAAATACACATCATCATGGGAGGTCACTTTTGCTAAGGAATGTTTTATGAATGTTAACAGGAAGTGATATGATATAGAGGCCTTTTTGCTAAGGATTTAACACTAAAGTGCTGATGCTACCTTGCTTGGGAGATAGCATGGTATCTTGGAGAGGGCTTTGGAGCCACAATGACCTGGCTTCCAATTCTATTCTCAGCCCTGAACCAAGGAACTCACTCACCCTCTTTGGTCCTCAGTTTTCTTATCTGTGAGACTGGAGTAATAATAGCTACAGAGCAAATATAGGTAATGGGTTTAAGGCACCCAGCACAGAATAGGTACTTAATGCAGTTTACTCTTATTTGTAGAGCAATTCATCATTTCCAAAGCACTTATAATTTAAGGGGTAGCTATGAAACTCACCATCCTGATGGTGTTTAGGATTGATATGAAATGTTTATGTGGCTACATAGGTGTTTCCTTCTGTCACTAGCTGGGCAGAGAGACCTGTGCAGGTGGAGGAGGTCTGAGATTCCAAGGAAGGTGGGTGATGAGGTGATACCTACCACTGTGGCTCTGCAGGATCCTGCTGTCCCAACTTTCTCTCTTTGTCTCATTTAGCCCAGAAAATAAGGCAGGGCAGGGAATGTCCTTATTTCACAGGAAACAGAGGTCAGACTTGTGCAGTCAAATGGTCCAGACCTCTGATTTGCA